TGTATTCAAAACGTGATTCCTTTATAATCAATTTAATTATTCAGAGTTTTAATAATTTTAGAAATGTAATAAATTCGTTATTATTCATACGGAAGTACTAAAGGAATTTAAAATTTATAATCTGAAATTAATATAATGTTTGAAATTTTCTTCTCATAATAATAAAATAATAATTATCTCTTCTTCAAAACTTTTTTGTTCCTTACATGCATAACTAACCGAAGAAGAATTTTCAAAGCTGAAGTAAACGTTGACGTTGATACATTTTTTTCGCTTTGTCTTATTATAATTAATTTGTACGATAAGCTTTAACGATCATGTAATTGTTACCATTTTGAGAGCATTTAACAAAGTACCAGCTTAAAACTATAGCTATATATATATAACTATATAAAACTATAAATCTCAAAGTAATTAATAGTATTCAATTTAAAAGCTTTTAGAGGGTTTCCATGTATTACTTAACGATCATCGATTTCGTCGATCACGATTTCGTCGATCATTTTTACATAAGTATACGTGTCCTTTTCCAAAAAAAAAAAAAAAAAAAAAAAATTATGAATAAAAATAAAAATAATATAAAATAATATCATTCAATATAATTCGTCATTTATAAATGAATCGGATGTTTTTCTCAAATCTTAAAAAAATATTTACTATAAGCATTATCATTTCACTATGAATTTATTTTATTTTTAATGTTGATACTAATTTAATAAGAATGATAATTAATAAATTCAATCGAATGATATCAATACGTCATTACGATTAAAATAAATGTTTAATTAAACTTTTCAATGGGTAATTAATTAATTATAGTACTCCTGTTAATCGTAGATACGCGAACATTCATTCACTATAAATCTTGATCAGTGTCCTTTACGTTCTATCTTTTCAAACGAAGTCCTTACATTCGAAGTAATCGAATTTCACTTTGCAGTGGGTGTTGATTGAACGATCGTAAACGTTCCATGCATCTTGATACAAATATCTGTTGAATAAATTATTGATAATATCATTTAACAAATATCTAATTAATAGATTTATTGAAAATTATTTTTCAAGATAAATTTCAAAGATTTTAGGGATTTACAAAATATTCGAATTATTTTATAACTTTCAAAATTCAAAACAAAATTCATAATTGAAAGATCTATGCATTACAAATGGATCATAGTCACTCGATATCTTTTTAAAATTTATCGAAATTAATTAATTATAATTAATCGAGTACGAGTAATTATTAAGAATTGTTTATATATATATATAGATATATATAAATACGAGTCATCTTATATGAATTTAAATTATATAATTAATCAAATACGAATGAAACTTATTTAGCATCCTAGTAAATCGCGTTACTTTTCAAAAAAAAATTTATTCGAATGATCTAAAATTTGTAACCTTAAAAATTCCCTGAACTTTCATTTTCAAGTAATATTAAATAAATCAAATGATATAGAAACAAGAAAATATTATAAACGGTACATGCATAACAATGCAAAAACTTTCTAAAATACAAAACAAAATTAATTAATTATTAATAAAATGAGTAGAGCTAATTAAGAAAACTATTCATATAAAGTCACATCCTATATAAACTTGTGCAATTAATCAAATATGACAATAGCTTCCCGCAAGTATTCAAATCTATTTTAAATTCTATATTTCTACGAAATCCCATGACTAACTCCCATGCTTGATAGAATATTAGATCTTTTATCAAATTTCTTTCTGTCAGATATAATACGTTTGATACGTATCGTACGTTTCTAGCGTACAATACTTGATGAAATTAAGAATAGAGTACTATTTTACATATCCGATTATAAGGATATAAATGAAATTCGTTTGTGGAATTTCGTGGTTCGTTATTGAATGAGTTAACGTACTAAATACAATTTTAATATTTACGACCGATATAAATGACTTTGGATCATAATAATTATTAACAATAAACCGTTCTAACGAGTACTTGACGGTAATTATTTTTGAGCGTTATCGCATAACAAAATACTGTTCTCTAATTTATATATAACAATATAGAAATATTTATTGACAAAACGATATCGATCTGATCATATACGGAATATGTTCTGCTTCTTCTTTTTTTTTTCTTTTTTTCAATTTTTTTTTTTTTCTTTTTTACTTTTCTTTCCATTTCTCTTTTTATTTCGTTTATTCCTTGAACGATTGTATTCTCTATCAATTTCATTATCTACACTCTCTCGTCTGTAATATGGTAATGATTGATCGATCATAAATTGTAAATTTTATACAAGGATGCGCAGCTATGCATAGACTTTGTAGATAGGTTAACGATATCAAATGCCACCCATTAAAGCGTCAATTAATCCCGATGAGTTATGATTACATGTCATGTTATGGAAAAAGAGAGAGAGAGAGAGAGAGAGAGAGAGAGAGAGTGAGAGAAGAAGTATGAGAAAACAAGATAAAACGAAGAAAAAAAAATTGTGTTACAGTACAGCGAACAAAC